AAGTTAAGATTGCCCGTATGATACAACTGATACAAGGCGGCGAAAATTTCATTGGAGTTCTACAGCAGAAGGAATCAAACATTACTAACTCGACATCCAGTAATAACCCAGGCGTAGTCTTGAGGGCAATACAAATTGTTTCATTACTGTTGTACTAAAATCTTTAAACTAAATAATTCATTTATGTTTGATCTAAGGTAGTAGTTTGTTGCTATATAAATAATTTTAGAGTTTGTCATTAGAAACTGATACAATAAAAAACGTTGTTCATATTGATGTTTAATAGCAGTTCTTATTCAATTTAATACCATCAACATGGTAGCAGAGCGTGGTTCTTTCTAAATATTCGTTGGGACGTCATTCAAAGAAAATCTTGGTTGCTAGCGTGGAATAGATAGCGCAGTGGATCGATAAAATCGGAATCAATTTTTTTTTGACAAGAGACGACACGAAAAATGGAAATTCAAGGAATAGAAAAACTACGGGGTATTGATAATTGGAGTATTTGGAAATTTGCTATAAGAAATTTATTACGAGGAAAAGTGGACGCGTATGAAGTTTGCATTGGGGAAATACTGAAGCCAGAGCAATTAGCTATTGAAGATAAGGACTTTAATCAGGCAGAATACGATGCAAAATTCAAGGCTTGGGACAGGGGAGATCGTGCAGCAAGTCAGATAATTATTAAATCTCTAGAATCAAAGGTTATGGCGTTGTTGGTTTCATGTGAAACGGCACGGGAAATTTGGCATTTGGCTCAAATTGCATTCTATTTTTGAGCAACAAACCAAACAAGTTGCGCATACTGTTCAAACTGAATTTTTCAATTTTAGTAAAAATCCTGCTGAAAATATGGTGACTCACATTGCTCGTTATGAGGAGCTGGTTCTGCGCATGCAGCAGCTGAATGTGAAACCGGACGAGTCTTCACTTGTAGTAAAGATGCTCGATTCTCTCTCAGATGACTACGAGGGCCTTCAACAAGCTTGGTGGGCGAGATCTGAACAACAGCAAACATTTGCGAATTTGGTGGAAGTGTTGACATCGGAAGAAAAACGTCGGCAGCAGAAAACAGGAAAACAGGAGGAGTTAGTCGCACTTTTTTCTAGTAAGGCCTACATAAAAAAGAAATATGCCAATAATGGTGGCAATAATTTTAATAAAATTAAATGCTACCGGTGCGGACGTGTGGGGCATATCCGGAAAAATTGCAAAAAGGGAAAAGAAGACAGTGAAGAAAAATCGAAAGACGAGGCGTTCGTATGTGAGGCTCTCAGCGCGGAAGATGGCGATGTTTGGATTGTTGATTCCGGAGCTACAGATCACATAACTCGTCATCGTGAGTGGTTTTTGTCTTATGAGCAGTTTGCAGTTCCCTTAAAAATTTATGTCGGCGACAAATCAACAATGGACGCTCTCGGAAAAGGAAGTATAAAATTTCAGGCTTATGTCGACAGAAAGAAAATAGAATGTCACATGGAAAATGTTCTTTTTGTGCCAGGGGCACGAAGAAATCTTTTTTCGGTCACGGCTGCGTTGGACAAGGGCATGAAGTTCAGATCTTCCAGCGAAAGATGTGAATTCACTCGGGATGGAGTTGTAAAAGCATACGGAGTTCGAATGGGTCAATTATTCAGGATGGTGATCCAAATAACATTTCCAAAAGATTATGTAAATGAGGCCAATCTAACGACGAAAATTACACTTCAAAATTGGCATGAAAAATTTGGACATCAGAACAAACAACATGTCAAGAAAATTTTGAAAAACCAGAAAATCGATTTTATCGAGGACGAAACATTTTGCGGAGCTTGCGTGGAAGGAAAACAACACCGGAGTACTTTTGAATCACGAAATCAGCGTGCTACGACGACTGGAACAGTTCTACATGTTGATTTGTGCGGACCAATGGAATGCACTTCGTTGGGTGGCGCTAAATATTTTGCGTGTTTTACTTGTGATTATTCAAGAATGCGATTTGTTTATTTCCTCAAGGAAAAATCAGAAACTGCTGGAAAAATTGTAGAGGTGTTACAAATCATAAAAACTCAACTTGGTAGATCGATGAAAACCCTGCAGTGTGATGGAGGAAAAGAATTCGACAACAGCGAGGTTCGAAAAATATTGAAGTTGGACGGGGTGAATTTGGCGGTGTCAAATCCTTATACGCATGAACAAAATGGATGCGCTGAACGAACAAACAGAACAGTGGTTGATTTGGCTCGAACAATGCTTTTGGCTAAAAAATTGCCAAAATATTTGTGGGCGGAAGCGGTCAATACTGCTGTTTACATTTTGAATTGCAGTGGACCAAGTGGAGTTGAAAACAAATCTCCTTACGAACTTTTCACGGGGAAGAAGGTGAATTTAAATCGTTTCTATGTTTTTGGCACAGATTGTTTCGTGCACGTACCGAAAGAAAAGAGAAATAAATGGGACCCAAAAGGCAAACGAGGAATTTTTGTCGGATATTCTGACAATATTGACGGTTTTCGTATTTGGTATAAATCGGAAAATCGCATCGTTCGCAGTAAATGCGTTGTTTTTGAACCAGAACAGTCTGAAAAATTATTGGCATTATTTCCGGAGAAGACAAGAAGCGCAGATAGTCAAGGTCCCGAAACATTTCCAGGAGAAGATTTCATCGATCAAGGGAATTTGCAAGATCATGAAGAAGATTTTGTCGATCAAGAGACGAGCACACCAACTCAAGAAAAGGAATTGGAGGGTAAAGCATCGGAAGAAATCTTGGAAAAACGACATCTCAGAAATCGGAACGATCTCAAAGCACCAAACAGATTGTTATATGCAATGATTTCGGAAGTTGTTGAACCAAAAAGTTATAACGAGGCCATAAAATCGGCAGAAAAGCAGAATTGGGTTACCGCCATGAACGAAGAAATGGCATCATTGAAAGAAAATTCGACGTGGAAAATTGTTGAACTGCCGGAAAAGCGAAAAACTATTTCTAATCGCTGGGTATATCGTGTGAAACGGGATTCTTACGGGAATGTTTCGCGGTTTAAGGCACGTTTAGTTGTCAGAGGATTTAGTCAGCGAGAAGGTATTGATTATAATGAGACATTTAGTCCTGTGGCACTACTTGATTCAATTCGGATAGTTTTGAGTATTGCAGCGAAAGAAAAATTGAAGATTGCTCAATTTGACGTCAAGACTGCATTTTTATATGGAAAAATTGATGAAGAAATTTACATGGATCAACCTGAAGGTTATGAAGATGGAAGTCAGCGTGTTTGTAAATTGCAGAGGAGTCTTTATGGTTTAAAACAATCCCCAAGATGCTGGAACGAACGGTTCAAGGAGGTTTTAATTTCATTTGGTTTACAGGAGAGTACAGCTGACTCATGTTTATTTTACCGTATTTCCAAAAATGAAAAACTGATAGTCGTTATTTATGTGGACGATGGATTGGTTGTTGCCACAACAAAAGAATCTATTAATAAATTCATTGGAAAACTCGAAGAAGAATTCAAAATGACAGCGGAGCCAGTCGGATGTTTTCTCAATATTCAAATTAATCAACATAACGATGGAACAATTTTCATTAATGAAAAACGGTACGTTGATGACATAATTGAAAAATTTAAAATGACAGAAGCAAATTCAGTTAGTACGCCAATTGAAAGATGTCAATTAACAGGGGAAGAAATGAAATTTGAATTGACAAAAGCCCCTTATCGAGAAGCAGTAGGGTGCTTAATGTATTTAGCAGTATCTACTCGTCCTGATATCACGTTTGTTGTAAATTATGTTTCACAGTTTCTGGAAGAACCAAGGGAACAGCACTGGACAATGGTAAAAAGGATCATTAAATACTTGAAGGGCACAGCTGAAATGGGAATTTATTACAAAGAAGTTGACACTCAAGTTAACGAATTAGAGTCATACAGCGACGCAGATTTTGCAAGTGACCCTCATACAAGACGGTCTGTCAGCGGTCTGGTTTTTAAATTTTGTGGAGGTGCTATCGTCTGGGCAAGCAGGAAGCAGAAAAGTGTTTCCTTATCTACCACAGAGGCGGAATATGTGGCTGCCAGCGAAGCAGCTAAAGACATTGTATGGTTAAATCGTCTTTTTGGGGAAATTGCACCATTAGAAAAAGTACCAACGCTTCGTGTAGATAGCATACGCGCAATAAAACTCGCTCGAAACCCAAGTTTCCACAAGAGATCGAAACATATTGATGTGCGGGCGCATTTTGTACGGGAACGAGTTCAAAATAAGGAGATGAACATAGTGCATGTTGCAAGTGAAGATCAAGTTGCGGATATTTTAACTAAGCTAATTCCAAAAATTCAATTTCAACATCTTAGAGAAAAATTGGGGATGTTTTCATTGTAACATAAATGAAAGTTTAAAGTTTGAGGGGAAGTGTTGTACTAAAATCTTTAAACTAAATAATTCATTTATGTTTGATCTAAGGTAGTAGTTTGTTGCTATATAAATAATTTTAGAGTTTGTCATTAGAAACTGATACAATAAAAAACGTTGTTCATATTGATGTTTAATAGCAGTTCTTATTCAATTTAATACCATCAACAATTACAATCAATGTTAATATTTGAAATAAAGAATTACAGCCAAATTTATGTTGGGGTTTTTAATTAATTGTGTGAAGATGTCAAATTTGATGTATACAAGTAACAGTCCGGTAAGTGTTGCTTAGCGACACTTACCGGCTCTGATGCTGTAATAACTCACCTACCGGACTCAAAATGATAGTGTAATCGAACATCTACCGGACAGTATGAAATAATAGTTATTTACATAAAAGTCAGGAAAATGACACAATACTGGCGAGGAAATATTGAAGTACAAGGCCCCTTTGGGGCCGAGTACTTTAATTTCTGAGGGAGAGAGATTAGACGTATATTTATCTAACGATTTATGCTTATATTATTAGATAAATAAGTGGTGAATGTTCTCAAAATATCTATTTTTAGTATGGATAAAGTTTTTTTGGAATGATTCAATATACATATCAGTAACGTATGTTTTTAATAACAACAGTAGTGTTTGGCAATAGAGCTACATTACGATAGCATTTGAAAATAATAACAGTTGCAGACATAACAGTTGTACCACTTAAGATAATTCGATTGATTGTCGTTTATTGTAGGCTTTGGTTTTAAATAAACTTTTATTTAATTGTTTTCCCCAAGGAAGAAACCAAAGCATCAATATTTTTAGGGCGTTTCTTTAGGAGAATAAATCCATTATGCTCACAATGTGTATTGCTGTTTTAGTTGATTCTCCCCTCATAAAATTTCCGAAATCCCCAAATAATCGTCGCTCACCAAACATTCTTTTGCCCACTACGTTGTTTCACCAAAAATTATTCGCTTTCCCCCCATATTCTTCCTATTCTCTTCGGTTATACGCCACCGGATGTTCGCTCTCGGAATATTCGCTCAATAAACTCGACGCGAAATATTCGACACCAAAATCTCCTTCACACCAATTTCCCACCCCAAAGAAAGGTGAAGTTCGGGAAAGCGCGGCTGCAACAGCACTTGCTTTCAAGGAAGACTCGCCCTTGGAGTTGTTGCTCTAAGCTTTCATGTGCTCTTTTCTAAAAATTAAATTTGCGAGAGTAAAATAGGTATATTTAAGACAAATTCCGGAAGTGAGTCCTTGATTAATGCTTACCAGTTATTTTAGTCTTCCCAACTTGGACCGTATTCAACGACCACAGATTATAATCTGTTGCAAGTTTCTGACCTTTAATTTTCTTGCACTGTGTTCGAGATCACCTTGACAGGCGTTGGTGCCTAAAAACAATGACATATTATCAATACCAACAACTGATATTCTTGACCTTTTACTCCCGGAAGTTACCAGCCTTAGAAAACAAAACATAACACTGTTTTTTTTTATTCGACTGTAGTTTACTATAATTTTTAAAGAGCATTGAAATAGCACACGCATATATTTATTTATTATTACTCCGGCGTGCTTTATTAGCGCCACCCTATCTCTCCTCGGTTCAGCAACTTCAAAAAAGTTTTTGTAGAACAACATAATTTATATTCAGAATGATTATGATAAGTTATTATCGCGCAGCCGCAAACTAGTTGAGCACTTTTGAATTTTTGGTTTAGTAACCGAACGGTATTTGTTCATAATGTTTCCAAAATGTTCTCCAATGTAAGTAACTGAAAAATATTACTACTAATGTGTCATTTGCCTTAATAAGACAAGGTATGCCTAGCCCACGTGTTCGTACCGTCATTGGAATAACTGGATTTTACCACTCAATATAGTCATACGGTTTGTATTTGTTTAATAGGAGTGCATGACCCCTAGGGGCATGATACAATTTTGTTTAACCAATCCACAAAATTCAATAGACTTAATTTTTAGTTCATTAATTACAAAACAACACCAAGTAATATTGTATGAAGCGTATGACATGTTCGAACTTGGCGGTCATTCTTGTGACGTTATTGGGTAAATGCGCCAACTTGACGAATTCGCGATCCTTTTATAGGTATACCTTGTCTTATTGTATCATTGTGACGTGTGTAAATTCGTTGCATTTTATCACCAAAGGTTATTCTGATTCAAATAATCACTAATAATAAGGTAATGATTATATTACCATAAATTACAACACTAAGTCTTCTTGATTATTACAACGCGGTTTGTATGACAGCTTCCACCTGCATTAAGAATATGGGCCCAAGTAATTCTTAATAAGTTACAATTCCGTTATAATTATTATCATTATTTTATAAAACGTTTGATTATGTAATAAATATTATTTTTCATTTGGTTTCATGACCTTTTCAGTGATGACCTTACAATGACGTATGAACTTGGACGTTCAATTCGTTGAACTAGTTGACTTAGAAAGGTATAAAATTCAAACTTGAGGAGGTCATCGAAAACATTGTACTTGACTTGATAACTAAGATTTTACGATATGCTTTTCTTTGGTCTTCTTTATTTTTGCCATTGAATTTCTTATTTAATGTGTATACCTTCCATGCCTACCATCAGCGTACTCTTTATCTTTACATCTATAGTTGTTGAACGTTATCGTAGGTCTCTGTTTGGTGTGTTTTGTTTAGTATTTAAATTTTTTATGTTTTCTGTTTTTATGGCACAAAATTAATCAAAACCTAGATATTATTACCTTTGTCTATGTTCATTGCTTTAGACGCATTTTAATCGTTTCCTGGCTTCACGGTCTTATACATTTTTCTTATCGTCACTAGGAGTGGCATTTACTTCTTATGATTACAATAATTATTTCAACTGTTGTTCTTTGAGCGTCTGCTATTTTCGCTTCACTCTACTGCCTCGTAATAGAAGCAATAGTGAACAAGGGAATCATTAGCGAAGATATCCAAAATAAGTGCACGTGGGATATCGAAGGACAAATACGACACACGCAAGTAATCAAGTTGAGTATATGCACGTGTCATAAATACAACATTAATTTGATAAAATGTTACATTGCAAAGTCTTACATATCATGCATTCTCAAATTCAATGAATCGTGCTAACAACTTGCATTTCATTTAAACATTTCTATTTCACTCATAGACTAGGCATATTAGGATTCTCAGAGGAAAGGTTTGCTGTATTTTTTATTTTCTCACCCTTTCTGCTCTACTTTTTAAGTCGCTGAACATTAATTTGAAATTTACTGGCAAAAATTTGACCCGGAATTTTGTTTTTTTCACAAATTTTGGCATTTTTCTCAGTTTTTGACCGATGGTTCGTCAAGGGAACGTTTTTTTCACCGGGCCCAGTTTATACAAAATTGAAGTGGACAACATTTCCTGTATGTATGTAGGCTAACCATTTCACTGCTAGAGTGTACCAAAGAATAAAATGCAGTTATTACTAAAATAAAATAAATGTCGCTGCCGATGCCGTCATAAATTGGGATGCCTTAATCATCTGGAACAAACAGGAAATGTTATTTTATGGATTTATTGATAGACGAGGTGGTATCTTTTTCCCCAAGCTGCGCAATTACCGGTTCCATAGACATGGCCTGTGTATTGTTCACTTAAACGCATGTTGCCGTTTTCGCCTAACACTCCCACCAACACTCTCCCCGGAATATTCTCCCACGGAATATATCTTTTTGTTGCTCGTGAAAGCGCATTATGAAAAGCTTACTGCTAAGGAAACTAGTCCTTGCAGCGAACCTCGAGAAGGAAAAAAGAATTGGCCACAGCTAGCCAGGGGAAACGGGACTTGCAGTGAAAAAGCTACCGAAGTTTGACCACGCTCATCTAATTTTGGCCATCAGACGTGCACAAGTCATGCCAAAAAGTAAATAAAAATATAAACTGTAAAGGAAAAAAAATTCAAGCTTTTGTGAATCCTCTGGCGCTGCTAGGTATAAACACTTTTCACTTGGCAACACAGAAAGATAAATAAGTTAACTACGAACTCAATTACGTCGCGTTAACATTAACGACAAAGGCAAAAATGATATCTTCTCATTTTCAGTTATACCAACACTCCTAACATATTAAAGCACATTCAGGCAGTTTCCCATGGATACATTCAACCAAACGACCGGCGGGACATTACATTCTAAGAAAATTGTACCCCCAACGCTACTCCTCTTGTAGGGGAACCGGGAAACCTAATACGGCATTGCCTCTACACATTAGCATTAAATTAAGGTCTGAGTCAAAGGATTAATATCGGTAATGTGACCTTCCCCGTGGGCTACTACCCCTAGGAAACTAATAACGTATAGTGAACAAGTAAGAGTAGAGGCGAGGTTCAGCTGAACTGCTCTTCCAATCAACCTCTTGTCACGTTCACTTTGGGAAAATGTAACAAAATTACCTTGAGATAATCACACGGTAAGCTCAAGTAAAGTAGCAAAGTAGAGGTGGGTGGGGTGAATATCGGGGTTCTTATACACAAGCAAAGATAAAGCAAAAAGTCTTCAGTAAATGGCAAAAGTGAGGAGAGAATACTTACCAAAAGGGGGAAACAAGACAGACCAAGAGGTCCTTGTTCTGGTCTTGCTAAGCTAAAAAATAAAATACTTGATAGGAATAGAACATAAATAATAATTGACGTCACAATCAATGGTGATTTAATCAAATGATCTCCAAAATATTACAAATAATAAACAGGCTAATTCAAATTCAATGGCCACCTTGGGGATCTCGGAAACTGTAACAGATAGGTAGGTAGTTTACATTTGGTAGTTTACGTTGCGTATTTTGGTGCTTAACAAAATGCCGTTTTGCAACTGAAAAAATTCCGACCACTTTCGTGAAAAAAAACGAAACGTTGCAAAATTGTTTGTAATAACTGTATTCAAAAAGGTATTTCAAAATAAATGACATAATTATTACCACTTCTTTGCAGTGGTAGAGTTATGACCTGAACAAACTCCAAACTGCTTCACCGGTAACAGATTCATCTCTAATATAAAAGCGTTTAATTGATTAAAAATAATCTTCTCAAATAATATCCATAAGGTAGGCAAAATACTAATCGACAGTAGATCTTTCTCACGCTGAGGGACGTTTAGTTTTCGGCAAAAGTTTTGTTAATGCCGGTTTCTGTCTCCGAGGACATTCACTAATGATAATAGGGCGAAAGCGTATGCCTTGGAATGAATTTTACATATTTTTCAATATCGTGACATGTTGCTGTCTTAAATTCAAACTGGAGCATTCCAAAGTAATTTCGGAAGGATGTTGTACACGATACCCGGCCCGTGTGGCGCAGTTCAGTTAAAGCTGAACTGTGGTGCTAAAGGGTCGCTGGTTCGAATCCGGGTTCGGGCATGGATATTTGTAAATGTATAGTGGGTTGGGTTTGTAGAGCAGCCTTGGCTGAAACCTCCCCCCCCCCCCCCCACTCAAAAACAAAGGCAAAATAAAATTTAAAAAATAAATAAAAAAAATACAGGGTCACCATTAAACGGAACAATGACACACGTTCACATACTGTCTGGTATATTCCGCAATGGGTTCCTTTCAGTGTTATCTGCTTTTGTTCATTTATAATTCTAACTAATATTTACTTTCGCACATTTCAAAATATTTACTTTCAATGCTCCATTAAGGGCTATTGAGAAACACCAAATTAATTAGTGAGATTTAAGTAAGTAAGTAAATAATGGGATGGTCTATATTTTGAATAAAGATGAGACCTCTGCATGTCTCAATTTGATAATGTCCGTCTACTATGTTAATGGTATGAGTGTTTATGTCTGTACTTTGATAGCTGATATGATGACATATTATGCTGGGTTGTTGTTGAGTAAGAGTGTTTCAAAGTTTCAAAGATGTGTAAAGACGGTACATATGTACATAAACATCCGTTTCATGGGAAAATTTTTTACCTACTGCAGTTATTATATAAATGAACATTATTATTATTATCCAGCAGTTTTTAATGTAATGGTAATTTTCTATCGACTTTAATTTAATAGAACCAACAAAAACTAACGCCCTCCCTCCCCCCCCCCCCCCCCCCGTAATATTTTTTTAATTCAAAAACGTCTCAGTTTTCTAAATGGCAGTAGTTTCACTTCCCCTAAATTTTATGTTATATTATCAATTTATACTTAAATACTTTCTTTTAATTTATTTAATGTTTATATAGCTATTTATACTTCTTTCCTATTTATTAGTTTGTTAATTATGTTAGATATACTATTGATTTTATTTGTTCATTTCTTAATTTATATAGCTGTTTATTATATCTATATTCTATACGCTTTTAATATTTTATGCGTATTGTCCTGTAATTGTCTGTTATATCTGTGGAGCAATTAAATGTTATTATTATTATTTACACGGAAATGTATCCTAAATTTATTACATTCGCCGGACAATCGTCGCATTAATTAATTCAAAACTTAAAATAATCGACCAATTAGCACAATCATCAAAATTTGATAAATTCCACTTCCCTATCCCTCACAGTCAATACTCAAAATACCAAATTTGTCTCACTCCCTTACATTAGCGAGAACTTTCAAAATATTTTCAAAAAACATAATGTTAAGTCATTTTCGGCTTGACCAGGTGGAAGGTAACGTATTTAAGACGTCCTTTAACCGTCTAGATTCTAGACCAATGGTGGTTTGGTCTGATTAGGCGTATTATGGACGTCCATTGAATGTCTATCTTGTGCCAAAGATGTTTTCTTAGTTTTGAAGGAAAAAATATGCACAAAATTATAGGAATAATATTAGGTAGTGGTACCCATTTTTAAATATGTAGATGCTACGTACTATTTATATCTCGTCAACTTTGGATATCCTTGAGACAGCCTGAGGATCTTTACAAAGAGCATGAATTATGGTAGGTATTAAATGTTTAAGACCTATATAACGGGTGGTCCCTCTAATGTTTGGAATTTGACTTTCGAAACGTCAAATGTCATTTGGGAAGTGACAAATATTTAGTAAAAACTCTGACATTTACGAAATGGGACGCTATACGCTTGAAGAAAGTTGGGAAATATTATTTCCTAAGCGGTGAGTCTTCTACCCAAACTGTGCGAAATTTGAAAAAAAAATGTTCCAAAAACCCAATTTGTGGATCAATTCGTTAAGCGAGTTCGTGAAACTGGAATGTTGGTGAGTAAACCAACTCGTATACGTACTCGTCCAGTGCGCTCAACCGAAAACATTGCTGCTGTTGTTGAAAGTGTGCGTGAACAACCATCAACGTTAACTCGTCATCGTTCCCAACAATTGGACATTTCACGCACTTCTTTGATGCGAATTTCCCGTAAAGATCTTGCTATGAAGCCATATGAAGTTCAATTGGCACACAATATGCATTACTGGTCACAGGAAAATCCACAGTGGATGAGAACTCTGTAATAGTATATTAAGTATGGAGAACGGTAAGGGATTTTTACCGTTCGAAGACAATTGTTTGGAGGAGGAGCGAAGCGACGACTCCAATTATTGTCTGAGAACGGTAACCCTTAACGTTCGACGTGCTTATAACATTTTTTGCGCGATCGAAATTAAAATTATGCAACCAATATAAATATGCACTAAGAAATTAACGAGCAGAATAAATCGAAATGATCGAAGTGGTATGGTGTAACACTAGGTAACCCTTATTCTGTGGTAACCAGTTTATTTGTCAAAACTGAAATTAATAATTTCTTGTGCATGTGCGTCTGATGTAGTTTGCTAGCTTTGCACTTCCGTTATGACTTTATGAGCGAGGTATTCGCCGGTGGCCGAATGGTATGTCGAAGATTTTACAGAACAAAATTGTAATTGGAATGTATTAAGAAAAACGAAAGCACATCTTCAAACACATTGATCTCTATTGCTTCAGGTTTAAATGAAGAACGTGTTCTTTCTATACGAAACATCAGCACAAATTGTACGTTTAATGTAACAATAATTAAAGATTAAATGTAATGTAAGACTTTTAACATTGAACTGATTGTTTTTAAAAAGGCGTCGGTAAGTATTTTTGCTGTTCTGTTTTTAGATCGGTAAGTAATTTTGGCGTCGTCGTAATCATAGCAACTGTTAATTCCACTGTCATGGAAACACACATGGTAAATAGTGAGAAATGACCGATCGCGCAAAAAAAATAATAGCACATGTGTAGTTTTTTTTATGTAGATTAGAATTTTAAAAACAAAAGTCTCATTTAAAATCTCAAAATCATCATCCAAATTGAGAAAAGAAAAAAATTTAAGAAACATGTTAAAAATTGTCCACCCATACACCAAAAGTGTTTGAGGCACCGGAGAGTACCTACGTATAGGCTGTAGGGGTGAAATCCTCTATTCCAGAAAATTAGGTATCGTGTGAATACTAACACGTCTAAACGATCCTGGGAAAGCACGTCGCACCTTGGAATCTGGGGAGTATTCCATACGAATATTCTTCCATACCATCAAAATATTTAAAACCGTTTTCGAGATATCGCCTTGTAGCACTTTCAAAAACTCACCCTGTGTACTTGACCTAAATAAAAATTTAATAAAAAAAGAAACCATCTGCAACGTGACAATTTCGCTCTTCAAACACCCGAAAATTAACCAAAAACGTGTCTGAAAATTCTGATAAACACACTTGACTTGAGTCGACAAAATTGCCAAAACCTAACTCGAATCGACCTTGATTACAAAACTGTATTTCATGAAAATATCAACTATATAATAAACTTAAATTGCAGTTGAGAGGTGGCGTGCGAGTGTTAATTACTTATAATTCTGTACTATAGTAATTAGTTGTAAGAAAATCGTGTCTAAAAGTAAGGTCCTAACAAAGGATCTTGTATTTATAACACCCGTCTACTATTTTACCAAAATATCGAGGTTAATTCTGTTAAATAAGACGGCTTCAGGTCTACATAATATTAATGAATACGAGTAGTCTCTCTTTTTGCAAATTTTAAAAAATCTACATTAACTTCCATGGCAAACTACCACGAAGAGCAACGATGCATTATCTAAGAGTTAAGAACTTTGATCACACTTTGAATCCGTCTATAGGTATAATATGAGTACACAATTAGAAACAGCATTGAAACGTCGTCAAATTGAGAATTAAAAATCAATTTATGATAACCATATAATTATGGTAAAAACATTATAAACCTTCACTCGTATGCAAGCATCTCTAACCGTCTGACTGAGCAGTTAAATAGATCGCTTGCATCTCAAAGCCACCCTGGTAACGTAATTGTTAATGTATGTGTCATACAAGCTCACGGGCGTCAAGGATAACCGCTGGACATAGTAATATAAATATTTGGTAAAAGAAGTACCTCTTTCTATTACTTTTTACGTATGCTCGTGTGATAACACAAACTGAATAAAGATATTTGTGATCGATTTAGCAATAAATTTGTGTGTATTGGCAGTGGGATTATCTTCGATTGCTATAGGTAAATACTATTTTCGTTTAATTCTATTTTTAGGGAACCAAAGCACGATATCAATTTACGTTAGTTACCCTTTTTTAAACATCGATCATTTAAAGCCGTAAGATAAAGCTTTTAAAGAATTAAATATTTGTATAGGGTCGGGAATGGTATACCTACTCCTAAAACTGTTAATGGTATCTTTGAACAGTTCTTCATACTATCTTCAAAATGCACTTTTTTTATTTTCCCGAAATAAAAGGTGTTAGTGGACGCATTATTCAGTTCCAGGACTTTATAAGTAAATAGGGATAAGGATCTCCTCTTGGGTTTGTGAAGATCTCGGGCGAACGTAAATACTAGTCCGGAATGTACTTGAAAAACGTGATTTTTAAATAATTGTTGCGTGTTTTTAAAAATCATAATAACTTGAAGAGTCCGTTCGTTAAAGGTAATCCCCTTGAACATTTATTTCCGAATATAGCGTGGAAAATTTCTATAGGTTGGAAGCGACGCAGTAAACTTGTATCGAAGCATTAAAAGAAAAATTTGATATGCTGAAGGCCTTCGCGATATTAATTCCGTGTGCCACCGTAAAATATTATTATAATTGGAATCGTGTAAATATGCTAACTATTAGAGTATGTAAACAAATATATGTCATCCAAAGGAGAATTGCAAAGTGGATGGTTATATAACGTTGGATTCGCATTTAATGCTGTGCAATAATCGAAATTTAGTGAAAGAAAAACTAATTTTCAAATGCTTCCAGATTCATTTCAAGATGCTACCGGCAAAGACGCCGTTCCCAAACATTTTAAAGAACCACCGATTCCTATTCTTGGGAACGTCATCACTAACATTCGGTTTGGTAATCCTCCTCCTTAAGTCGTGGATAATAGAGGTGCTAACGGCTTCGGTAATCGTTTTACAACCGAACAACGCACTGGAGGGTTTCTGGAGGAAGACGCCAGTCGATCTACCGACGAATGTGTACTTTTTTAACTGGACAAATCCCGAGGCGATTCACGATTTTAAAATAAAACCCCAATTTGAGGAGGTGGGACCGTATAAATTTAAGCAAAAGTTGGAAAAGGTCAATATTGTCTGGAACGATAATAATACGGTCACCTACAATCAGATGAGAACATTTTCCTACGACAACGAAGAGGAGAATGGAGATTTGTCCGACATGATTACATCAATAAATGCTGTTACTTTGGTAAGTGCTTTTCTTGCGCCAGAAATAAATTGGACGAGGTGCTCCTTACGCAAAACATCCAAATTTGCTTCGGAAATGACGCATGTTAAATGTTAACGCGATATAAATACGCATGTGAACAATTGACTGAAAACTAAAAAAAGTCAATTTACTTTTTTTCCCCGAAAGTTTTTAGCTTCCCATATTATTAAGTAATTTGTCAAACCGACTCAGTTTTATGTCGTGCATGTACCCTTTTGTTATTTTCCATAATTACGTCACTTTGATGTGTCGGTCTGTATATTTATTGCAAAATAATAAAAATCAATACTTAAGGTACCCAGATGTCTTATAGATACTTTAAACCGAAGGGAAGGAGGTTTATTGGGCAGAGCCCTTTAAACTATAAAACCAGAGACTTTGTATAAAACACTTCAAGATATTGATTGATTGGTGGTGACATTCATACAATTTTTTACCTCTTCCTACCACCTGAGTATCGTACTTTCCGCTCGAGTATCCATCGTCTGTGCTGTAGCTACACCTAAATTCAAAGTACGTTGTTATTTTTTCTGAAATAGTGCCTTGCAATCTCGATTTTGCCGAAAAAGTGATATTGATGTAACAATTCCGGTCGAATAATTTGCAATGACCGTGTGTCTTGTGACTAAAGGATGACAAATTCGATTTTAATATACCAATTTCACCGAAAAAAAATGAATTGCGTAGATGACCACTTTGTTTGGCCTAGGAACTGCGCTTTAGTGTGTGGCACTTGATCACGTTCGTATCGTATATTTTTTTTGCTCTTCCACCAAATACGTGCGATGTACTTTTGAACACACTTCCCTTGCTCCCTTATCTTAAACTATTTGTACTATCTGTACATCCGCTCGGGGTAGTAACATAAGCGGCCTATAGGGTACAACCAAACTTCTTTTCTTTTCTTTTTCTCATCTTGTGCCTTGAGATGATGAGAGGTTACCAATCAAAATCAGATCAACAATCAGAAATTATACTCCAATGTTTTATTGCGGTGTTACAAAAAAAGGCAGTGTTGAATGATTCTCCACATAAACTAATTCAGCAAAGAATTTAAATTTTCAAAGCCACTTTTTTTTGCGATAGCATTGAGGTAGGTTTCTGACCTACACTTCTATTTACATAGAACTTAAAATTTTTTTCTTGTGAATTTTTCTTGGAAATATGAATAGGTACTAGAAGTAGTCACTCCAGTTTGTGTATAACATCTTCATAACAATTAACTTACAAAAAAATTTAATTAGCACTTCTTCTCGAAAAATACCGACTATTAATGGGTAGAGTGAGAGTGGTTTTGACCACAAGAATTTCTAGGAACAACATAATGGATTGGATTTAATATTTAAATCTTCTAATTGTGTCATAACGTTGACACATTAAAGTATGTCAACACGAGTTGTTTTTTATTAAACATTCCGGTCATGGAACCACGCCGGTGATGATTTGTCTGAACCAGGTTACCATCAACATACATGTCCGTAATTAAAATTAACACAATGTTTTAATGGTAAAGATCTTTAAGATCGTTGACTTTTTGGCACAAAGTTACTAATGTAATAAATTCTCCTTGGCGTACGAAACGTTCTTGTTTGCTACACACTTCGAAGAAAAGGAAGTATTTGATGGTCTTAAGAATGTGCAGTTTTTTCTTAAAGGAGTTAATTGATATTATCATCAACACGCTACTGCCCCGACTAGATATCAATTTAAACTAAATTACAATGTAGAAATCATTGTAATCTCTAACCCTGCAATTAATGTAATTACATAAGTTTACCACCGTCACTAATTACTTCCTCTGAAAATGATATAAACGTTTAATTCCATAGCCCATCAGTTAATGTGTAAATACTCAGTTAGTAAATAGTAATAATATTATTTCAACATACACAAGTATGAACGTGACCACATATGGTCCTTCAAAGTACAGTGCACTTAGGACTGCTCTTCGGGAGGCTGTGGGTTCGAATCTCGCTGATACCGACTGCTCTGTCTGGGGGTTTTCTTCCTCAGGCGTCCCTAGCTTCGTTGATATCTACGAGGCGAATGCTGGAGCAGTACCCTTTCCCCCTCAGCATTCCCACTCCATTCCTTCGGTTCCAATCCCCTAAGTTAACCCATCCTTGCATTCCAGTTCTCTGGAGAGCCGCCCGCCTCCGGTATCCCTCGCGGATATTATGTGTGATAGGGATGCTGGTAAGATCCGAAGTACTTCCCCCTTGATAGGCAATACCCCGGATTCGTTATTATTGCAGTTTGCATAAAAGGAGATCATGATTGGTCATTAACGACCGGATGCAGGAAAGCGAATTATAATCAAAATCCTACATTATTTGCCAAATCTGAGCTTAAACAAGAATTTTGACATTTAATTAGTTGCATACTGCAATATAAAGCCAATCAAATGTCTTAATACTAGGATTAAATAATGATCTTGGATTATTTTTTTTTGTGCAACTGGCCGTAAATGCTTTAGAATAATCAAAATCACAGATTTCGCAATGCACTCAACCATCGGAGACATTGGATATGATAACCGTATAACGCCATACGTAAAACACAAATGAGTCTTATTCAATCGGATCACTTGCTCCACTCGCTCGCAAGTTACCTCGTGTCACAAACGTTACTCTCCTGAATAGGCATGGGAATTTTTTTCGATATATCGATAGGTATCGATAGTTATCGATATATCGAATAACAATAGGTAGAGCTAAAAAAATCGATATATCGATATATCGATAACTATCGATATATCGATATGTCGATAACTATTGATATGTCGATAACGATATATCGATATATCGATATGTCGATAACTATTGATATATCGATATGTCGATAACTATTGATATATCGATATGTCGATAACTATTGGTACGATAAAATTATGTTATTGTTGAGATTTCAACGAGCGCTACTATTTTTATTAATAAAATCCATTTTCGGGTTTACTCTCGTGTAAATTTACTATTTTTAGTCGCTCGACGTTTCGCAAACTTAACTTTGCTCCCTTTCTCAAGAGAAGCGCTACGTCACATCATCATCCATGCCAAATAAACGCAGTAATAAAATCTTTAGAAAATAGATCTTTTCGTCTTACTGACGATTGCTCAAGAAAAAAAGCACTTCAAAAACTTGAACAAAATGTTGCATCAAAATTGCTACTCTTTAGATAAAATAAAGAAGACAATCAAAGATTTTATTAATAAAACTCGATGAGATAACTATCCCTGTCGATAACTATCGATACATCCAATATTTCTCTCAAATGAGACGTGCAATTACCGCTTAATTACAGCGGTAATTGCATTGTAGAAAGCTAAAGAGCCCTGCGATAATTGCACAGTTAATATGGTAACTCCATTAAAGTTGCAAGAACTGCATTCGGTTATTTTCATATTTTGTTAAAAGAGCCCTCTTGTCTTGTCGGGCTCTTTCGCCAAAATATAAAAGTAAACTCATGCAGTTTTTAGATACGCTTTCAAAAAAATTATCGGTAATATTATATCGATACCTATATATTAAAAACTATCGCCATAACGAGAACTATCGATATACAAATACTTATCGATATAGCGGCAGTTATCGATCTTTTGATAGTTATCGGTGTATCGATAACCATCGATATTTCGATAATTATCGGCATATCGATAAGTAAAATATATCGATAGGAAAGTACCCGATACTTATATCGATAGGTGAAAACAGTTATCGCCCATCCCTAGCGATAACTTTCGACATATCGATATATCGATAACTATCGATATATCGATACCTATCGATAGTAATCATATATCGATAACTATCGATATATCGATATATCGATAACTATCGACATATCGATAACTATCGACATATCGATAACTATCGATAGGTATCGATATATCGATAACCATCGATATTTCGATAATTATCGCCATATCGATAAGTAAAATATATCGATAGGTAAGTACCCGATGCTTATCGATAGGTGAAAACAGTTATCGCCCATCCCTACTCCTGAATCATAATCGTCGTAACATGCTCGTAAATATCATCAAAGGAGATGTGCGAAAATTTTAGATTGGAATTAACAAAACAATTGAGCACTATTAAGTAAGTACCGTATCGACAGTATCGGAGACGATTCTTTCACCTCGCCACCACGGCCGGGTACGGGACAATCGTCACTTGACGCCCCACCGTTGTCTTTTCTGCTTGAATGAAAAACCCGTAACTGCATACCCATACGATATACCTACGAAACCATAAACATTTCCAATGTTAAGTCCATTGATTTTTTAGCATTGGAAATGCTTATGTTTTGTATGGGTATGAAGTTACTGGTTAGTCGAACAGAAAAGAAGACAATTGCTGTCGCATCAAGTGATGATTGTCCCGTACTCGACTGCAATCGGTAGATTCAGAAAAAGTCGAGGATACTGTCGATACGATACTTACTTAATAGTGCGCAAGGGTTTTGTTAATTAGAATCTAAATTTATCGCACATCGCCCGTGATGGTATTACCTTAGTGTAAAGAATAGATACATGCATGTTACGATGATTATTACTTAGAAAGTTTACGTTTGCGACACGAGCGAGCTTGTGAGTATGAATAAGGGATATTTGTGTTTTACATATGGCGTTGTGCGGTTATTTCCAATGCCTCCGATGGTTGCAAGGATTGCGAAATCTGTGAATTTTTTCGAGCATAAAACGCTTTCTCAAGAATTTTTGAGAAAGCGTATTGCAAAGATATAGGTCAGTTAGTGCCTAATTCGTTTGAGGCGCCTTTTTTTTGGAACCACACAATTGCAGTGTTTAGCACCTTTGGAAACATTCTCCATTTTCTAATTACACTTATTTCCCAATTTTCGACCGACGTTTCTTCTGTTTAATTTGATATTAAACATTCAGTCTTCTATTCGCCTTCATCATCTCTTCCTCTACAATCTCTTTCTTCCCAGTTATTTAACCTCTCGTCCTCTTTCTCTAGTCCTTTTTGTTTTTCTTCTTCATCAACTAGAGGTTTTTGTTCTTTCGCTGTTCTCCCTAACAGTTCCTGAAAGTACTGCCTCCACCTACTCAAAATACTGCCCGGTTCAGTTAATGTCTGTCCTTGTTTGTCTTTTATGGTTCTGCGTTGAAATGTTTTCCCTTCTCTCAGCGATTTCAGTATCGCAAAGAACAGTTTTTGGTGTCCCTTGCTGTCGTTTTTGATTTCCCTACCAAATTCATGCTACTATGCATACTTGACTTCTCTAACTATGTTCCTTTGTTGTACATTTTATATGTGTCTTCTGATTTACTGTTCAGATATTGTTTCCACCTCTGTTTCTTTATATTTACTTGCTCCTTTATATTATAATTCCACCATGTTGTTCATTTGAGGTGATCACGTGTCCATTCTAACTTTGATTCTTATCTAAAAGTCATCTGTCCTATATAATAAATTACTGGTACATTCTCCTATCCAAAATATTCACACGCCTATGAATGCTAAACAAAATCGCTTTCCGCAATACGTTTCTTGTCATCGCTGTTTATCGCCAGACATACTTTCTTTCATGTTCGCTATGAAGCGGTACATGCGAGAATTTTTCTTCGCCTACATTCAGTTTTCCTTGATACTTTGATTTTCTTTAAATTAATGCAGGCCCGCATCACGCCGATACCAACAGCTTTCTTTCTTTAGATTACCATTTAGCATTAAGGTACATGCGTGAAACGGATAATTTTTAAGAGTCTAGGATCAATGCAAATTCTTTTCGTCATGAGTGCACATAACTGAATTCGTCGGTCCGGATCATGTTTGCCTAACTCTTAAAGTATCTGGTTTTGTATGGGTGAAACTTGAATACCTTCTTTACCTATCCAGCCAAGTGAAGTCCTGTTACAACCACCTTAACCTCTCCGACAACACCAACAAAACAATCGGGCCAAGACTGTAGGAGATATGAGAAAAGTGAAAAATCACCACGTAAGCGTGGCACGCTCGGGGATGGCGCCCACATGTCACCGACTCGACATCATGTAACCCCGTCCCTAAAGTTGTTAAACTACACGGCCCCGATAGGTACATGTACACTCCTCGACTTTCTACAAGCGTTCTTCTACGGGCCCGCATTTGCTTCCAGCCAGCCAGTCGGCCAAAATGGGAACTATCTTTTTACAAATAAATTTACAAAAATGTGCTAAAAAACCCAAGTGAAGCCCGCTTTTTGGTTTGAGCTAGGAAGCTGTTCTGTCAAGAATATGGCACCTGGTTATTAATTAATCTGTAATGATTTCACGTACTTGGCTCAAAAAACTATTGTAAATTGAAAAATTTCTTATTTTGTAGGCTTGTGCTCATTACATTCAGAACTGGAACTACTTCCTTAAACGCGGAGCTTCAATGGTCTTCTCGGCGGTATACCCCACGGTGGACACTACGCGATCGGCAAATCAGTTACTACTGGAGGGCTATGACGATATAATCGTCGACATAGCAAAGATGTTACCATTTATCGCGTCCGAAATTCCGCGCTTCGATAAGTTCGGTTGGCTTTTCATCGTAAGGTGACTTCCGTAACCGAAACGCGATTAAAAACCTTTCAATTGCAGCTGAACGGCACGTCCGCCTTCGAAGGTGCAATCAATATGGACGATGGCGAGATGGGGAATTTCGAAATTCGCCAGTGGAACTACGAAAGCAAATTGACACAGTTTACCGGTTCGTGTGCGGAATTAGGCCGGTCATCGGCAGGCGAATTGTACCCTCATACCATCAAACGGGAGTATATTGAAGTATTTATTCCCCAGTTTTGCCGAAATTTAAGATTTGACTACGTGGGAAATGTCACGGTGGATGGTATTTCGGGTTACAAATTTGCAATCGGTGCTGGAGTTCTGGACAATGGTACATTGATACCGGAAAACAAGTGCTACTGTGCAGGCAAATGCATACCATCTGGTGTTTTTAACATTTCGTCCTGCAGATACGGTTTGCCAACCTATGGTTCCCTTCCACATTTTTATGGCGCCGATCAGTATTACTTAGAGAATGTGGAAGGGCTGCAACCTCGAGAAGATAAGCACCAATCGTACATTATTCTTGAACCCGTAAGCTTTTGCTGTTTTCTTTCACGGTTTTCAATATGGATTCGTTTCAGACCACCGGAGCACCAATTGAAGCTGCGCTACGAATCCAGCTAAACATGTACCTGCACCCCATAGATAGCATAATGTAGGTTTATCTTATACGATCACCACCAAGTAATCGTTCCACTTTCTTAGGGTATACGAGGACGTTCCCGAGCTCTACTTCCCATTACTGTGGGTCGAAACTTCGGCTTCGTTGCCACACTACATGAAGATATTGCTGAAAATATATCTAATTTCTCCTCAAATAATGCTAGGCGCATCCCTAGCACTGACACTGCTTGGATTGTATATGTTACTGTTTATTGCGTATAAACCATTCTTTGTATCATTCTACAAACATTTACATCGCAAGAAGCGAAATCAGCCGGTAAAGTCGGAAGAAGTACCCCTACGATGTGATGTAGAAATAGCATTCGCTAATTGTGCTATTGAGAACGATGAGTGTAGGTGATATAATATACTGTTATGAATGTGACGTACAGTATTAATTAGTTAACACCACGTGTTGGGCATTTAACAGACAACTTTCAGGGGAGAAACCGTTGGTTAACAAATTTACATTGCGATAATCGATGTTCTGCGTCAAGGTAGAAGACAATCCGGAGTGTAGCTAATACTTAGAATGCCATTTCAGGTAAATGTGTTGTCGATAGAACCAACCCTTGTTATTTGTAAGTGTATTTTGTTTAGCTCTCTGTAGACAAGTTTTTAAATATACGTATACTCTGTTTTTTAACTAGGAAGACGGATTTAAAAACCTGATTTACACTGGAAATGTCACTAGAATCTAGTAACAAAAATAATAGACTCATTTTGTACAGACATGTATTGTGGGTTGCGTGATGTGATTTTCTTTCACATTTGGATAGATTTCATTATTTATGCTTTTGGGTTATTATTTGGTAGGAACTCCTTTATATTATGCATACATCATACTTTTAAAAGCGAATTATAATAAATAGGTAATACACTGATAATAGGTAATCATCCTGCATACATTTTTTGGCCTTTGAAACATTATTTTGAATTGTAGTTTTAAATGTTTTTATCAGTTGTAATACTACACAATCCACATTACAATTTACAACAAATGTTAAGTTATTGAATAAATTCAGAACAATGGAATTATACTCATATTATTAAACAGCACAGTTCACTGCTTTATGTATAAGCGATTTAGTCACTTCTTCCAAAAGTTCACTAAAACTGTCACTGTCTTCCGATCCGAGTGAAATAATTAATGGTTCTATAAGTGTATCCATTAGACCATCCAATCTACACATCTTATTTTCTTCCTTAATAACGTGTTGCACACAATTCCGCCAATCGTCAGAGCTCACATTTGCAACAGCGTTATGACAGCCGGGTCGTTTCGAAGGGGTAACAATCCCAGTACTTCGATATTCTTTAATTATCCGGTATACTGTAGATCGTGCAACTCCTAATATGTGTCATACTTTAATAACCAAATATATACCTACATCATTATTTACGTTACCTGTGGTAGATGCAATCTTCAACACAAGCGTAGCAAAATTCATATCCGGAGTATCGGACAACAATTGTTTATAATAAACTGCTTCTCGGAGACTGATAAAATGACCCAAGTTTAAGCGACAACCTTTTTTTCAAAGGAGACAAGCTTACTTTACTGGTACTTGGAGTTGAATCCATCACTAATGCCAGTACACTTAGGATGCGAAATATTAACTTTCGTTCTTAAAAGAACTGGTTTTTTTGTTAAAATTTATGCAAATGGACTCAGAACACACAAAAACTCAAAAATAAGTACAACAGTTAAGGACGAGAATCGCGATTAAATTTGACAGTTAAAGCATGTCAATAGCAATTTTACCTGGGTGTAAAACGGGCGCAGCGCGAGCCAATAGAAACCAAGATTTTTTGCGGGAACTTTTAAATCCGTCTTCCTAGTTAAAAAACAGAGTATAGTGAAATTGTATTTTTGAAGCAAGACCTAAAAAAATTGGAAGACCTAATGACTGGACGACAAATAAGTAGTACTCATTACACCGGTGATTTCTGTTTAATATAGTCAAAGAATACTCTTTGATATAGTACACCCACAAGTACCTATGACATGGAATGACATGGGTAGATTAACTCAAAATTTTAGGAAATAATGGAAAAATAGGAATATTTTTTGCTAGCTATCTAGTTATAACAGTTAGATTCGGTAGGTACTATATATGTACCGTCTCTTGCAGCAAAGAATACATACTAATTATTAGTTACTCTTTGCTTGGAATCACAAAAATTAACAATTCTTGGCAAAATTTTATCAAGTGTATTTACTTATGTGAACCACGGAACAACTTTGTTTACCTGGTTGCATACAAATCAATTTTAGTTTCAAATTGCCGTTTCAGCGTATAATCAGTTGTAGATTTACAGATTTTATAGAAATCAATTACTTTTGGAAACATTCCACGAAAAATAACGATATATAATTGGGAAAAGTCTGGGTTACCGACTCTGGAGGTCGCAAAAATTCTCTCTTGAATAATCCACATCCACAACTCAAAAATTTGGTCTAATACTTTCACTTTTAAGTTACGATTGTATTCCTTATTAAAGTGCAACTTTGAGATTTGAAATTTCATCGAAATCGATAGTTATTTCGCAGCTTAAAATACGTCCATGTGCCGACTCTGATTTACTTAGACAAAGGTTTGATATACCGGATGAATATTTCCAAACCGAACATAGGGAATTAACATGGGAAAAAGGTTTTTTGTAGATAGTTGCTCATCATGTTAACTTAGAGGGTTTATAATGACAACAATCGAAAGGAAATTTTTTTCCACGTCTAATGATATACCTACTAATTAGTTCATTTTCAGGTGTATTTCTCACTATTTTATCAAAAATTCGCCAATAAATCCACTTACCAAAATCATGTTAAGCCATGACTAGTACGACAAAAAGCAGATTCAAACGTCGAAATCAATATCAGTTTATGACAACTGGCATTAATTTTTTTGTAAAATGCAGTTCACTGAGGAAAAATATTTCTAATAAACAACGTTCACAGCGGAAATATTTACTCTCGTACGCGATATTTGTTTTCCGTGCATTTTAATGAGCGTCCCATTCCGTCTGTGTGAAAACCTATTTCAATTCTTTAGGAAATTTCCATGGCTTAACATAATTTTGCTAATTAGATTTATTGCCTAATTTTTGATAAAATAATCAGAAATACACCTGAAAATAAACTAATTCGTATATCATTAAATGACAATTCAACTCATGTATAAAAAATCGCATAAACCGCAGTGCAATTGTTACTTTGACGGCGGCAAAAGTTACCTGCAACTTTTCCAGCGACAAATGCACTACTACAAAAGATTACCTTTTAGTAAAGGTTAGATGACTCCTAATTGTACAACTTTTTAATTTCGGATTCATCAGGACACAAAAACTCACGGTAGACGTATTTCCAGTCATTAATAAGTGCGATGGAGTGAATTTTTTGAACTTGTACAGAAATTAGTGCAATTTTCGCCCCAAGAATATGGTTGAGAAGGTGGCAAGAGGTTTCCACCACCACAGTCCCCAGCGATGGGGGTGTGTCCTCTATTAAAATTATTGAGAATTCTAATTGTATAATTAATAGTCCTAAGCTTTCGGATGATAATGTAAATAGCTATCGTCTTAAATAAATTTGACGTTTCTTCTTGACAGAAAATTATCAGTTGCTACGCAACACTTTCCGGCCTTGTGATGTAATAGATCACTTTCCGGACTCAAATGAATGATGTAATGTACTGTATAGCGGACAGTATGAAATAAAATCTGTTTTACGAGAGAAAGTTGATTTAAAAGGTAACACGATGTTCTTCTAGAAGGTGGGTTCAAATATCTTCTTGTAAGGGTATTCTTACTATGCCACCGAGATTGCAAACTCGTTTATCTCTAAATTCTAGATAAAGATCTCGTGTTACCGTGTGTGGTCGGACTCCTTCGAAAAGGCCCATTTTTATGAAATGGCCGCGCAGTCGCCGAAACAGAGCGTATGTCCCATCCAAGAAAACATTGACTGGTAGGCGCTATGAAGGTCGCTCGGCGGGCAAGGTGAGGCGGCGCAGCCGGCGATTCCAAGCGTATGTCCCTTTCAAGAAAACATTGACTGATAGGCGGTATGAAGTTCGCGGGGTGTGTGAGGTGAGGCGGCGCGAAACCGGGAAAATCTCATTATCATAAACATAACCAGAGGTTACATCATCAAACAATACAATATTCTCATCTCATTACAAAATTATAAATTTCGTAATCTACAGCTTACGCTGTAGGAAAAATAAATCGTATCGCTTGCCTTGATAAAAACCGGACACATAAAAAAACACGAAATTAATATTTCGGTTAATTTGCATACGATTAGTTATTCCTTCTATGTTTACATCGTACCAATTTTGGTAATAAATGTGTAATTAGCCTAATGGATTAACTCGTAGATTGATAACAAATACAAATTTATTTGGGACAGTGACGTTACGATAACAAAAGCCTAAATCTTTACAAAGGCCGAACATTTATCTTATAATAAACGTAACAATAGTGATATCAACTGGTGAATTGTTAGATGTTAAGCTGGTTAATGCGTAAAATTTGCGAGTGCGTTTATAGTGATCGTGGGAGAATGTGAATCATTATTCATTAGTTATCTAAAAATCTGCGTAAGCTAGTAAGTGTTAGGTGAAAATGCGTAATATACGTGGATTATTGTAGAAGGTAGGAATATGCGATTTTATTTTATATTTTTCCATATAAACGTGTTTGGAGGGCATAGGCAATATACATAAACTGAATAGGTAATTAAATATTAATGTTAATTGTTTAAAATGCAAATGACGATAATGACTATATGAATTAATTCTAAAGCTTTGTTGAGGAAATTCAATTCTCAAATTATTAAAAGTGTACTTAGTGATAACAGTGCATAAAAACACTACCAATGGTGATATGATAATGATGCATATTCATTCTATGAATTCAGTGTTACAGACAGTATCTACTATCTATCTACTACCTATTCTCAAGCTGGACATCTTTGAGATAAGATATTTTACAAAAAGGAATTTTCGCCTAGGACTAAAACCTAAAAAGAAGGACTAAACACTTTCGGAACATATTGTTAGCAAATATGTTAGAGTTTCAAAAACCTAGGAAATTTAGGATAATTCAACCGTTTTAATCAGATGAGTAGAAATCACCATAGAATTGTCGCAATAATTGCAACTACAGCAAAATTTACCAACACGGTTAAACCGGTTGAATTATCGTAAATCCCCCAAGATGACATGCTATCGGATTGTTGCTTAAAGATGATACCAGCACTGTATAGTAAAACCATGTAGTCAAATGTTTAAAGAACTGTCATTGCTGTTACATTTGCAATGCGAGGCATTGGCATAAACGATCGAAATGCAATTTAAAAATTGCACTCATGGCCTATGTGCATCGATCCAGTATAGGTACCACTGTTCCGTTCATTAACCTACAAAATATACCCATATTTGCCAAGACTGTCGCACCTAATTACAGGTAATTCTTTTAGATATTCACACATACAATTAATATAACACACAATTACAACACGTTACATTCAATTTAAAACTAAACTTTTTCAGACATCCTTCAATTTTAATTATGCAACAGAATCTTTCCCATTTTATTCCATTCTATCTTAAAAAGGAGTATAGCGTGCCTATCATTTTA